AAACTCATCTTGAGGAGAAAGAATGCTGAGTTGCATCCAAAGAACACCATACCTACTGTGAAGCATGGGGGTGGAAACATCATGCTTTGGGGCTGTTTTTCTGCAAAGGGACCAGGACGACTGATCTGTGTAAACGAAAGAATGAATGGGGCCATGTATCGTGAGATTTTGAGTGAAAACCTCCTTCCATCAGCAAGGGCATTGAAGATGAAACGTGGCTGGGTCTTTCAGCATGACAATGATCCCAAACACATCGCCCGGGCAATGAAGGAGTGGCTTCGTAAGAAGCATTTCAAGGTCCTGGAGTGGCCTAGCCAGTCTCCAGATCTCAACCTCATAGAAAATCTTTGGAGGGAGTTGAAAATCCGTGTTGCCCAGCGACAGCCCCAAAACATTACTGCTCTAGAGGAGATCTGGATGGAGGAATGGGCCAAAATACCAGCAACAGTGTGTGACAACCTTGTGAAGACTTACAGAAAACTTTTGACCTCTGTCATTGCCAACAAAGGGTATATAACAAAGTATTGAGATGAAATTTTGTTATTGACCAAATACTTATTTTCCACCATAATTTGCAAATAAATTCTTTAAAAATCCTACAATGTGATTTTCTGGTTTTTTTTTCTCATTTTGTCTCTCATAGTTGAGGTATACCTGTGATGAAAATTACAGGCCTCTCTCATCTTTTTAAGTGGGAGAACTTGCACAATTGGTGGCTGACTAAATACTTTTTTTCCCCACTGTATGTATGCGAATTGCATCTAAAATGTCCATCCATTTGGATTACACTGGTTTAACCTAACTAATATTCTCTTATACTTGTATTAACTTATGCTAACTAATACTCCCTTATATATCACTTTCTTTAATAGCACTAATAAACAGAATATGTTTTAAATACACAATAACCAGGTTTATATATTTATCATAAAAAATAAATCATTTTGTTTCAATTCTAACTAATTAAATATTACTTGTTCCACAGCTATCCATAATTTCAATGTTCATACTTTATAACTGAATAAATTAATTTTCACAATGAGCTGATTTATATGGAAGCTTCCACCATGGGATAAAAATATATAAAAATAAAATGGTAATGGTAATGACTTTTTATATCACAATTCTGACTTTTATTTTAGATGGGATTTAAACTCGCAGTTCTGAGAAGAAAAATTGTAATTGTAAAATATAAACTTGCAATTGCAAGAAAAAGAGTATTTTTTCTTATTGAAAAAAAGTTAGAATTGCAAGACAAACTCAGAATTGAGAAAAAAAAAATTTCTTGCAATTCTGAGTTTATATTTTGTATTTCTCTTTTTTTTTCTCAGAATTGCAAGAAAAAAGTCAGAATTGTGACAAAAATTTGCAATTACCTTTTTATAATTTTTTTTTATCTCATGCTGGAAACAATCTTCCATAGATTTAAGGTTATTCTAAACTATTTGAATAAATGATATACAATTAAAATATACAATTATTTAATTCAATAAAATAGATACCAACAGTTAACAATAATAAAAATTCCATGATTGTGCAGTGCAGAAATCTTATCTGTTTCTTATCTGTTTCATTTATTTGACTGAAGTTTATTAGATAATGTTAAAACCGTGCAATCCAAATAGATGGAAAATGCTTATTTTGCAATTCAAATACATACATCTTAAATATTTTTGAATATTTAGAGAACATCATCCTTTAATGCAAACTGACATCCTCTGACATTACCTCACATGTCTTTAATGTAGTTCTCCACTTTTGGTTTGGATTGCCTGTAGTTTAATTCCTTTACATTATGTGTAGCTACAGTTAATGGAAGCTACAGTTAACAACAACATTGGATGTCCATATTGAAGGTAACTGCACTTTGTTCACTACTTTGAAAGATCATGAAGACTACTTTCGTTCAGGGACCAAAAGGGCTGCTGAGGCTTTGAAGATAAGCAGCGATGCACTCCTCCCGTGAATTCAATTCTATTTAGCGCAATTCCTTTAACAGTATCTCTTAATAAATCAATACCAATTCCAGAGCTCCAGGTAATTCCAATCAAAGGCCGCTGTTTAAACTAGCCTAAATGCAGTGCAATTTACTTTCAGGCTCGTCTGTGGCTGACAGAAGTCTTTAACACTGATTTTCCCCAGTTACTCATCATTCAGAGCCCTGTTGAACACATCGAGTGCTTCAAGACTGCCTCTTTAAAGTCAACATAAAATCACAATGGACCCTGTTTGCACTACCTTGTTAATAGATGTTCCTGGTGTTATTGTGCACGATTCTCCCTTTGACATACTGCATCTAAGCATCTGGGTTAAACATCTGGACTGGTGTGCTGAAGTCTGCAAGTTCAAACTATAGAAATATCAATTCATAAGCCACTTAACTGCACGTTGCTCCCGGGGAATAAAGGCGTTCTGTACATCCCATTACACAATGTGTCTGTTAAATGAAGAATAATGAGAACGATGGATTAAGGACTGAGTCGAAATGCACAATAAGCCTAGTATGATATGTAAAGGATAATGTAATTTAAGCTGATTATATGGCTACTTAACAAATAAATACACGAACATAAAAATATAAACTTGTGAAAGTGAAATTCTTTTATTACATAAAATGAGAGAGAGAGAGAACATAGAATGATAAGAAACACAAAACCTAAGTTGAGTAGGAAACGGTTGCATGTCAATAGACAAATATATCGTTTTGTGCAATTATGCAAAACTATCTGGCTCAGTATTATATAGTATATTAAAAAAATATATATATAGTAATTTAGGAAAATCTGTTATAAATCTTATTTTATTTTATGTGTGTGTGTTATTTTTTTACGCAAAGCGTTCAACCCCTAATATATACTTTTATAATTGTTATGTTTATACACACACAAATTATAAATTCTAAAAAAGTATAAAATGATAATATTTATAATTGTTAATATATTTTTGATATATATATATATATAATCTTATAAATATAGATTATATATTAATTGATAAATGTTATCTCGGCATATATACAGTGGGGCAAAAAAGTATTTAGTCAGCCACCAATTGTGCAAGTTCTCCCACTTAAAAAGATGAGAGAGGCCTGTAATTTTCAT